ATTTTGAACGTAGTTTGGCTTGCTTCGTTGTGTCTAAGCCGATGATCCAGATGACGAAGCGCACTCAGTAACTACTTCAACGAGGACAGAGAGCGGAGGGTCCAAACAGTTACCAGGAACAGTTACCGCAGAGTAGATGGCGCCAAAAGATTATGCAGAGGAGCGTTGTTGGTCCAGAATTGCCCAAGGGAACGACGCCAGGGAAACAGATGGCTCGCACTGAGAAGGCAGATGCTACCACACAAATGCTACCACACAGATGCTAGCATACAGATACTAACAAACAGGGATCACGTCAGGTAAGTGCTGCCCGCATCTGTGGCATCGGGTGCAATCGTGCTAGCACACTGGTTGGTGGTCGCACAAAAAAAGCTAGCACAGATACAACCACTCGACGGTACATGGCAGCGTTTGTGACCACCAGTGTGCTAGCACGATTGCACCCAATGCCACGGTGCGGTAGTGTTCGTGCTAGCACACAGAGAACAGCATACCTTAGATACAGGGGATGGCATACAAACGCTGGCATAGATGGCACACAAAGTAGGCCCTGACAGCTTTTGTGTGGGCCTCTATGTTTGCATGTGGATGCTAGCACACAGATAATAGCATGCGTTGGCTGACTCTGGTAGGCCAGCTCTGCGCTACTGGGCCTATTCCAGTGCCGATTGTCCCGTGTGGGCTGATCGACCAAGTTGTCCTGTGGCACAAGATGCGGCTCAGGTCACCCGCCGTACGTATATGACAAATGCTCCTCAACTTGTCAAACCCAAGCGGACAGTTTTTCCTCATCAGGGGACAGCAAGCTACAACACAGCAAATACTTGCCATACTTGGCCAGCGTCCTCAAAGACGTGAGGCAGGAAGAGTCCTGTGAAACGAGCCGGAGGAGGTGATAGAGTACACTTCTAGCTTTTGAGCGTACGGTTGCTTCAGCAATGAGTAGACTCAGTCGAGACATATGTACAATTTTCCTGTTTACAACAGAGCATCGAACAATACTTCTCAGCGAAACACAGTACAACTGTGATAATACGTTGATTCTCTTTTTGCACATACTCTCATTGATTTAGAGAGTCAAAAACTGCTGTGATGAATCTCTTCACAAATCTAATGAAGCTTGTTGCTAGCCTATGCTGTGCGCTGTATTCATCGGTGTTACCAGGCATGCTTTGCTTCCCTACAACTCCGATAGACTCCGTGGTTGTTGAGCAAGCTCTTTCCCGTTCGCCTGGCCGCGTCTCAAAACACATCCGTACATAGGCGATGACATAGCTAGACTACATTTTCGAATAGTACAGCGCTGGACGCTTACTGTAGTAAGAATTTCCCGAGTAGCATCGCAAGACTGCGTTGAAACCCAGCTGTGCCTTGGTGACATGAGGCTCGTGAAAGAGGCCATCGTGGATTACTTTGGTAGGTGCTTGAAATGTCAGGTTGATTACGCTTTGCCGGCCGCGGTTGCAACCGGTGGATGACATCGAGCATAAAGTACCGCATGGCTAAGACTAGACCAGACAGTGTAGAAAGAGACTGTCAGCAAATGGTGCATCGATCTTGGGGATGTACTTGCCTAGCGATGACAGTACTTCATCCTGCCAATAACAACTAAGCTGACAAGGATACGGTTGTAGTATTATTCACTTTCAGCTTCCCGCTGCAGAAATCAAATTTGGGCTTCGTCTTGGCAGATAGGAATTATTCTGTGCACAGACATGTGTGGAGCTCTTTGCTGACAGAATACATACTGAGACCCATCGAGTACATTCATCGATGACCTCCACATACATAGTTTATTACGCCCCGGCTAAGCTATTCAGGGCTCGTGTGATTATCTACATATTCTCCACTTTCGTTCATATCCTTGCCTCCCAGAAGCCCATACAAGTCTCGTCCGTCTCCGTATGTGTCATCTTCAGTTTTACGTGCCAATGCTGCGGCTGCTCGTGGAGTTAGTAACAGGCCATCCTGAGGGTGTCTCCTGAAGTGTTCGGCGTCCTATCATCGGCGGCCGAAGCTAGTCCTGTTGTCGATGGCACGAGGGTGCGTGGAGGTGTTGTCGGTTGGTATGTGAGTTGGTGTGGGTCGTTATGGCGGGGTTAACAACTACTCATGGTCGTTTTGTCGCTGGCTGATCTGAGCATCCAGCCTCTCCGTGCTCATGGCGAACTTGATCGTTTCTTTGACAACATCTACGTTTGGCGACCAGTCATCAGGATCGGACGCGCTCTTTCCTCCGAGAAAGTACGACAGGTTTCCTCTCTGCGTTTCCGTCTGTTGAAGCATCTGAGTTCGTTGCGCCGTCCACCGTGTGCAACGGAAGAGAAAATGCTCTACCGATTCTGCCGCATGCCCACAGGCGCAATGCGCCGAGGCAGTTGCTCCGATCTGGCGCAGGTACCAATTCAGTCTTGCCATGCCGGTGCGCAGTTGCGCCAGGATACTGGCTTCTTTCCACGAGAGCTCATCATACAGCTCGCGCGTATGCCTTCCTGGTAAAGCTATATCGATCTTCTTCGAGAATGCTCCTACGTTGTCGGGCAAAGCTCCGTACTTCTGTCGCACGCTCTGCAAAGCGATCCTAAGTGCCGTCGAGTAGGCTCTAGCAGGTCGTTTCTGCGGTGTCTTGCTCGGTCTCGTGCTTTCCTTTGCTGCAGCTTTAGCCGCTTGCGCCAGGTCTGACTCTACAGCTGATGGGAGCCAGAAGAGCGTGAACCTATTGCCTCGTCTCTGCAGAGCTTGCATGCTGGAGTATAGTTGTCGGATCTCTCGTTGGCCCGACTGCTGCCGCGGGTTACGGATGGCTAGCACAGCCGCTTTGTTGCGGGTGAACACGTGGATGGCCCGGTAGTCGAGCCTCTGCGGGAGAGACTTGACCGCTTCTGCCAGCGCCGCCAGCTCTGCCGCATACGGGTTCAGCTCTGTTCTCAGGCCGAGTGTGCGCGAGGCCGTTATCACGCCGCCACCCCCTCTAAGTGACGCAGGCAGCGTTGTGACCGTTCCGTAGCCCACAACTCCGTTTCTTGCCGAGCTCCCTGTCGCTATCCTCACTGCCCACCCGGACTGGATTGCTTCGGTGGCCTTGACCGCGTCGTCGTCGACTACTGTGTCAATACGGGCTTCCCATGGAGTTATCAAATACCCTTCGATAGTCTCCAGCTTGTCAAGCGGTTGGTCGCGATAGGCCTCCGCTATCAACTGGAAGGGTGATGGAAACCGTCTAAAGGCTACCGCCCGTAGACGTCGAAGCGGATGCGTCTTGGGAAGGCTTCGCATCCGTACCCAGAATGTCGTTGATTTTCTGTCGAATCTCTCTTGCGCCGATTGTATGCTTGCCTCCGCTTCGGCGACCGCCGTGGCCACTGTGTTGAAGGTTCCCACGACCGCTTGGGCGCCAATCCTCTGCACTCGGTTGATTGCTCTCATCTGCGCTGCGCGACATCTATATCTCCAGACATTCGACGCGTAGTCCATCGTCGGTGCCACGGCCGCGACGAAAAGCTGTCTGGCCGTCGCCGGAGACAGGCCTTTGAGCCGCCTGAGCCTCAGCACGGCCTCCAGCCCCTTTGTCGTCGCGTCTGCGATGTGCTTTTCGAATCGTAGCTTCGTATCCATCGTCACCCCTAGTACCTTGACGTGGTCCTTTGGTCGGACGGTGTCCCCTTTGATGACGAAGCTGGTCGAGTCCGGCGGTAGTCTCCAGTTGCGCGTGAAGTGGATGATGGCCGTCTTGTCCGTCTCGAAGGTCGCCCCGCTTCGTCGTTCCCATTTGAGCGCTCTGTCAATGATGTTCTGGATGCCTTCGCAGTTTGCTTCTCGCGATCGGCCGGTAACCCACGCCGTATAGTCGTCGACGAAGGCCAGCGCGCCCCCGTTCTCGTCGATTTGGTGTTGTACGAGGTCGGCATTGAAGAAGAGGAACAGCACGGGCGACAGCGGCGAGCCCTGAGGCAGACCGGCTTGTGGTAATGGACGAGCCTCGGACTCGTGACCGTTGACTAATATGCTTGCTGTACGATGGGAATAGAAAGCGTCGACCCATCTCATAAGCTTCTCAGGTATACCCCGTGCCCTGAGTTGTTGAAGTAGTCTCTTTTTGTACATACTATTGTATACTCCTTTGATATTAAAGCTAACTAGATCGACTACTTTTCTCTTTTTCTACGCTTCGTAGATGTACTCTTGTAGTAGTACTAGCGCTTGCTCTGCCGACCTCTGTTCGTGAGCGCTAAAGTAGCTCGTAGGGAAGAGGCTAAACGTCTTGACTGCGTGCGAGATACGTTTTGCTAGGACCGACTCTAGTACTTTTCTGAGCGTCGATAGAAGCGAGATTGGTCGCTAGGCCTTTGCTATACTGTAGTCGCTTTTGTTTGGCTTCTTTAGCGGGATGATCTTGGCGTGTTGCCATTGCCTCGGTAACATCCCTTTATCTAGTGAGGTCTGGAAGAGTGTAAGCACCCTCTCCTTTACTACCGGCTACGTTTGCTTCTACACTGCTACCGGTAGACTATCTTCTCCGGGAGCTTTCTACGACTTTGCTGTAAAGAGCTGTCTCTCTATTTTTCCTAACGTTAGGTCGGGGAAAGGTACGGGCGACCTCTGTGGCCGCTCGCCCTCTTCCTCGATCGTGCTGGGAAGAGGAGGGAAGAATGTGGAAAGTAGCTCTTCGGCCTGCTCTGCGGCATCTCCTGTTTGGGAGCTATCCGCCCTTTTAAGTTGAGGTATCTTGTCGAAAGATGCCCCTTTACTGGCGTTGAGGCACTTCGCAGCTTTCCAGATGTTGGTGTTGTCGGCTATAAAGTCCTCCCAGTGGCATTTCTTCTGTTGTCGGATGGCGTCGTGATATTGCTTGGCTGCCGAGCGGGCGCGTTTTTCTAGCTCGGGTTGGGTGTTACCTGCCCTTCTCTCCGCCCTCGCCCGGTTCCTCTAGTGCGTGTGAATCTGCCGTAGCTGCGTGAGGTCGGCTGTCCACCATCTCTTCGCATACGGAGATGGCTTGGCCTTGGGGGTCAGTGCCTCTACTGCCTCGCACACCACGGACATCAGTCGATCTGTCTGCTGCTGCACTGTACCTCCCGTTGGCGTTCGCCCTAGGTCTGCTTCCACTCTCTCATTG